ACGAAGTTATTACGCCGACCTCCGCGCCGACCTGGAGGGCCTCAAGTTCCGCGAGCTGGTGGCGGGCGAGGGTGGCGACGCCGCCGCCGCCGCGCTCGTCGCCTGCCTGGTCGGCGAGCGCCTGGACGGCGGCGGCGGGGAGGAGCTGACGGCCGCGCTGCGCGCCGGCTGCCCGGCCTTCTTCCGCGAGGACGATCGGGTGTATTACCGCGCGCTGGGCGCGCTGGCGCGCGCCGAGGCCGCCGAGACGGTCGCGGACCGGGAGGCCGCGCTGGGTGCCGCGGTGGAGAGCCTCGCAGCCGTGCCGGCGGCCGTGGACCTGACCGCCCTGGCGCCGCGCCTGGCCCGGCTCAGGGCCTTCCGTGCGCTGGTGGGCCTGGCCGCCGGCCGCGCGCGCCTCCTCACGGGGGGGGACGGCGTGGCGCTGGGGAACGGCGCGGCGGGCGGCATGCAGCCATCTGCCGCGGACGCTGCCTACGAGCCGGTGGTGGAGATCGCCAGGGTCCTGCTCGCCCCAGACCCGGAGCGAGGTGTGTGCTTTGGGGACGTGGAGGGGGAGTCATTGGGGGCTGGACGGGGGGCCAGGCGATGCTGCTCGTATGTCTGTCATGGCAGTCCTGTTCCTGGGCCTTCAGCAACATACACAGCACGTGGGAACGGCAGCTCACACCCCTCCCACTCGTACCGCCGTCCCCGAACCGCAGCCAAGGGGACGCGCTGGGAGGGTTTGGTGGCATCCATCGCGCCGCGTGAGGCGCCGGAGCTGCGGCGTGCGCTGCTGGATGCGGCCGTGGCCACTCGCGACCCGGGCCTGCTGGACGCCCTCTACTCCTGCCTGGTGGACGCGGGGTGAGTCTGGGAGGGCCTCGCGTGCATGCCTGATGGGTTGTATGTTGGGGTTCAAAGGTGCCTCTGAGGGGGGATTGGGAGGTCAAGTGGGGTCCTGTGATAGGAAGAGCAGGCCACCGCAGCCAGAGCTTCCACTGGGAGGCAATGTGGCAGCGATGATGAGGCTGGTCAGAATTGCAAACGGAATGCATTGCATAGTAGCACATGCTTTAGTAAGCGAAAGGCAATGGCCCGACCTGACTACACTGCACATCCACAAAACCCAAACACAGGGCTGTCGGGGAGCTGATCGCCGCCGATGCGCCGGGGCTGGAGACGCACCTCATCCGCGGTGGCGGCCTGGCGGGCGTCGCCCACGCCTCCCAGATCCGGGGCCTGGAGCCGGGGCAGGTCGCGCGCGTGGTGGCACTGGCGCGCTTCTACACCGCGCGCAGGGAGTACGCCAAGGCCGCCCAAGCCTACGAGGTGCTGGCCGACGTGCCAGTGACTGGCCCACGCCAGGAGCTGACGCTGGAGCAGAGGGCCGAGTACCTGGCCCTCGCCACCCTCCAGGTGCGAGCTTGGGTGTCTCTGTCGCTGAGGTTTGGGGAGGTGGTGAGTGAGGCGGGTTGTGCACATGGGTGTATCTCGGCTGGGCGCGCTGACCGCCAGGGCTTGAACCGAAAAGGTCTGCCTGGTCCTGACACGATTGCCAGCCCCATCTGGGAACCTCTCCCCACAACTCCGCCTGCACTCCGTCTCCCAGGCGCGAAGCTGTGGGGAGGCTGTGCTCCTGGACCAGCTCACGGCCAAGGCCAGGGTGCTGGCGGCGCAGAGGCGCATCCTGGAGATGCTGACAAGGGACGGTGAGCAATTGAGCGAGTGTCTGGTGGCTTCTTGCTGGATGGATGAGAAGGTGAAGCTCCTGTGAGGGGCATCCTTGCCAGCACGATCGCACTCACATCTTGAACCTGATGTCACATCCACACTCCAGCAGAGGAGGGAGGGGCGGACGCCGAAACGCTGGCTGCACTGGAGGCGGGGCCGCGACCCCTGGCAGAGCTGTACAACGACATCGCCGTACCTCGCCAGGTACTGCGAGGCTTGTGGTGCTGCAGGAAGCGTGAGGTACCGTGGGCCTTCAATGTTCTCAGCCCGGCAGGCTGTGTGAGTATCTCTCCTCGGTCCAACCTTTGAGGGACTCCAATTGGGCCCCCCACCCACCTTGCTCTGCAGCTGTGGTCGAGCTGCCTGGAGATGATTGGCATCTCCGCCTATGGCGATGCCGCCTACGTCTCACAGCTCTGGGACCTCTCGCTCAAGTCTGCCTGGGAGGTACGGGAACAGCGCGAGGGAGTGTTCTTGTTGGTGCAGTGATCGTTCCTCGCCCGACTTCTGCCGTATCCTTTCATGCGCATACCCCCTGTACAAACTCGCAACCAAGCGCAGAGGGGCTGGGCGATGGCAGCGCCGGACAGCGAGGCGGACGATCCTGCCCACGCAGCCGCCGAGGCATTGGAAGAGGTCGCTCGCGAGGTGGAGTTTGTCGCGCAGTCCGTCGGAGCCCCCGATGAGAACAGGTGAGGTGGATGTCTTTGCATGATCTCACGTCGTTGCGGAGCCTAACCGGAGGCTGCTTACTTGAAGGGCTGCAATTTTAAGATGTGGAGAATTTTCAACGCCAAGGCTAGCCATCCAACCCCCTCCCTCGGCTCTCCTTCCTCATCAATGCAGCCTGCCGCTGCCGCATGTGACCCTTCGCCTCGAGCAAGTGGCTGCCGGCCTCTGGCCCGTCGAGACGGGGCTGCCGCTCCCCGCCGGCCGCGTCGGCCGCGCGGTGTCGGTCGCCGCCGGCTCGGATCGCGAGGGCGCCCTCCGTGCCTACGAGACCCTGCTCAGCACGGCAGGGGTCGACGCCGGGGACGAGTCTGCCGCACCCTCGCTGCGCGCGCGCCTCGTGGAGTCGGCGCTGCTCCTCCTGCAGGCCGCCGCCGAGCAGTTGCCGGGCACCGCGCCGCGCGAGCGCGCGGCATTGGCTGGGAGCTGCGACGCGCTGCTGGGATATGCACGGCGGCTTCAGGACAGCGCAGCTGCCGCCCGCCTCGTCCCGGAGCTGGAGGCGGCTGCCGCTGCCCTGCACTCCCGCACCTCTGGCAGGGGGCTGGCGTTGCTGGGAGGGTTCTGATGAGGAGGGGGCGCTGGACGCTAGTGAATTCGGGGTCGTGCATGCCCAATGCGCCTCGTGCCTCTTGTATGCCTCTCGCTGTCGAGCGTGATCCAGGAAGAAGGCTAGCAACAGGAATTCTTGCAAAGGGGTCTGAGCAGTAGCAGACAGGTTGACACTCACTGTCAGAGAGGCAGAGAGGGGGTAAGCAACCATGCAACCAGGGATGCCTATGATGCCAAAGGCTCATGCTGGCTGTTTGCCGCCTCTGGCTGCTGCGTCACATGCCCCGCACCCCCCATTGTCATATCCAGCGTGCTTCCTCCGGCGCTAAGCATGAGCGTGGGTTTCGAGCAGGCCCCCGCTGCCAGGGTCAGCAGGCCCGCGCCATCGCTCCCTGCAGCGGTCCGCGCGCAGCGCAGCAGGGAGGCCTCCAGGGAGCAGGTGGATAGGAGGCTCAGCAGGGTGGCCCTGAAGCCTCCTGCCATGGGTCCGGGGCGGCGCGCCGCACATTGGGCATCGGATCCCACCCTGCCCGCCGCGGCGATGATGCGTTCCGCGATGCTGCGCGGGGACACGCGGCCGGCCGCCCCTGCCACCACCTGCTGCGCAAATCCGAGCAGGAGGGCGTGCAGCACCGCCCACTGCTGGTCGGTGAGGCCGGGTGGGGAAGGAGGCTGGTCGAGGGGGGAAGGAAACTGGGCTGGAGCTGGCAGCGGTGGCCTTGATTCAAGGACCTGCACCCCTTGGAGTGCTCCCTCCCTGTCCAAGGCCTGGAGCAGGCAGAACTCCAGCAGTCGAAACCACAGGGACTGAGGCTTGGTGTCGGGAGCTGAGGAGGCGCCGTCGCCCAACCCATCATGCTCTGCTTCTTGTGAGACCCTGGCGAATTGAGAGGGGGCAAGGAAGGGATTCAACTCATGCAGGGCGGAACATCTCTGCAGAACTCTGCTAAACAAATTCCTGGTGTGCACCAAGCTTGGCCATGACTTCACACAGACCCTCACCTTGTGCACAGTGTCAGGGCAGCTTCCAGGGCCCGCTGTGACGCCTGGAGCTCTGGCATGGATGACCCGGGAAGAGGGGCATGAGGACTGCTGGCATCAGGCCATGCGCCCCTGGAGGCCGTCCCGGCGCTGAAGCTGCCGCGGCGCAGATCGATGTCCTCGCCCAGGCTATGCTGACTCATCATGAACTCCGCAAGGTCGGCGTCGCTGGACCGGGCAATGCGTCGAGCCAGGGCCAAGGTGGATGCGGCCAGTGCCTGCAGGATGGTGTGGCTTGGGAGCTTAGTGTGGCAGGAACAGGGAAGGAAGGGGAAGTCAAGAGATTGGTAGCTATGAGACTCAGCTTCATGGCCCCATTAGGATCTGGGAGAAGTACATTGCTCAGACGCTTGGTGATGTCCATGTGAACGCATGTCAGACTACTTTACCAGCCCCCGTACCTGCACGTAAACCTCCAGGGCTGCGCTGGAGTCCCCGCTGCGTTCCAAGAGATACCCGGCGGCCGTTTGGCAGCCCTCGTGACGCATGCAGGCCTGCTGACAGGCCGTCACGCTGTACCCGTCGTGCGATTGGAGGAAAGCAAGGACTGCAAAGTGGGACAGGGTGTCATGGGTTGTAGCAATAAAGGGTGCAAGGGGGGGGCGCAGGCCTCCTGAAGGCAACCGCTGCCCAGATTCTGACTCCCCTCACCCTTCTGTGGCTCGTGCTGGCAAAGGAGGTCCACATAGCGATCAACGACGCCTCGCTCACGCAGCAGAGCCGACAGGACCTGGTACCCCTGGGGCTGGAGCTGCGTCAAAGGGGGGCCAACAAGCGAGATCAGGACAGAGCTCGCAAGCGTGTGTTGGTTGGGCATTGCAGATACCTGTTGTTAGAGTGCAATCGAGAAAATCTTGCCTCCACCTTGAAGCCAGACAATTCAACAGCGAGTGCTGAGTGTCAGACACCGAATCACTGGCTGCCTCTCCAATCCTCCGATCCAAGACCGTCCCCACGGACACCCCCAAGACACAAGAATCATCCCTGCGCCCCTCAACGCACCTTGAGACGCCCTCCCCCGTCCCCCAGCCCAACCAGCGCCCCCAGGTAGCCGTAGTGCAGCTGGGCCTGAGAAGCGAGGCCCTCCAAGATCTGCCTCTGCCGGTCCGGCGCGATCCACCGCAGGAAGAAGGCGGCCGCTGAGTCGGCGTCCTGAGCTACAAAGGCCGCGGCGCGAGAGACGGCATGCTCCAGGAACGCAGAGCGAGTCCCCGCATCGATCTGTGTGCTCCCATCCAGCACCGACTCTGCGTAGGCAGCGGCGGGGGCCCTGGGCGCGAGGCTGCCCTCAGATGTCTCCGCGCCCCAGCTCTCAATGCTGAGGCAGGAGGCCAGCGCCGCAGCGTAGTCGCCGCCGGCATGGTGTAGGCTGGCCTCGGCGCGTGGGAAAGAGTGCCGCCTGGCGAGTGACAGCGCCTCCCCCCTCTCCCGGGGGGTCATTGCCGCGGCGTTCACGGCCGTGACGGCCGTGAACGCCGCCTCGCCGTGGGGCAGGGCGGCGAGGCGCTGCAGTACCCGCAGTACCACGCCGCCACACGCCCTGGCCCGGCCGGCGGCCAGGTGGGCGCCGATGAAGTCCAGGCTGGCGCGTGCCTGCGGCACCTGCGCTCATCCGGGGTGTGTGTGGGGGGGGAGGGGGAAGTTGAAGGGAACTGTTGGGTGCCTGGGTGACTGAAAGTTGGTGCATGCTGAGATGCACCATGCTCAACTTGCACCGAGCACCTGCTGATCCTGGGCACCTCCAGCATCACAAACTTGCCCTCAATCCCCACTGAAAACAATCAACTCACATCTGCCGGCCAGGTGGCTAGGACCTCTGCGGCGAGGACGTCGACCGCGTGCTGAGTCACCGTGCTGTCCAGGGTATCCTGGTCCATCCTCGGGCAGCTCTGCCCGGCAAGGTCGACCACGTCGCCCAGCATGGCCTCCCACCCCTCCAGTCCAGAGGAAAGCACGGCCAATGTTGATAACGGGTCTAGGTCCATCAGGAAGGTCAGGGCGGGGTGTCGCGATTGCTGCACAGAGGGGTTTGATAGAGGGGTTGGGGAGGTTATCAGAGCATATGCAAGGGTTGGTGGGTGGTCTGTGCCATACGTGTTGGGTCCCTCCCGCTCTGAGATCAACGCTATCGTCGTGGATGCCCTGCCCATCACCGCATCACCGCACATGCCACCCCAGTAACCCCCAAGACTGACCTGGACGGCTGGCGGTGCGGAATTCTGCCCCCCCGACTCACGCTGCCCCCCGCTCCAGGCCCTCCAGCAGTCTGCGATGGCCGGCCATGGCGTCAGCAGCAGGAAGGCCAGGGCCTGGCTCTTGGCCACGGGTGCGACGCCGGGGTCAAGCGAGCCGGCGCGGTGGGGAGGGTAGCCCAGGCCCAGCAGGCACGCCTCCAGCAGGAGCCAGAGTCGCGCGGCCAGCTGCATCTCCCGGGCAGTGTACGGGCGTAGTCCATCTGCCTGGCAGCCAGCACCTCGGGGACCATGGCTGGCGGCACCAGCCTCAGCGTCGCCCTTTCCTTCCTGCGCAGCCCCCGCGCTCACCGCCTCCACCAGCAGCAGGCAGAGGGGCGTGGTCCAGTCGCGCAGGACCCCGCCAAAGATGGCAATGAGGGCGGCATGCAGGTCGTGGCGCATGCAGAGTGGCACCACCTGTGGTCGAGACAGGGACGGAGAGAACTTGTTGGATGGGGAGCGATGCAGTGCCAAGAGGCCCAGGCGGAGCCAGGCAGTGTACAAAGCCAGCGTCCCCAACCCTCCCCAAGCATCCCAGGACACTAGTTTCATCAGGACACTGCCCTGCAGCCGGCACCTGGCTGAGGTCCAGGGTGGTCGGGTCCAGGCGCAGCACGCACGCCTCCACGACCTCGGGGCGGCCGGCGGCCGCGTAGCTTCCCACCAGCTCCTGCATCACCTCGGGTCCCAGGCTGGTCAGCCGACCCGCCGACACGTGCGGCACCAGGGCCTCCAGGAAAGCATGGCGTGGGGTCGCAAGCGAGGCCTCGCCCAACTCGCCTCGTCCGGCCGCCCCCTGGTCCTGTGCACCTGGCGCCGACAGAAAAGCGTTCGCCACTGCGCCTGAGAGGAGGTCGGGGCGCCCGAGCAGGAGGCAGGTGCGCACCGCCACGTCAGCCAGCACGACAGGGCTCAGGAACGCATGACTGGATGCAGTGCAGCCGTGGTGGTCGCCACTGCCTCCGGTCCCTCGAGCTCCCTGCGGGCCCGCCAGCTGGTCGGCCAGCAGCGCCAACAGCGCGCGCTCGGCGGCACCATGCACGGCGGCACGCCCGCTCGGCGGCCGATCGGCGGGCCAGGCGCTCTCGAGACCGGGTCGGCCGCCGCGAGGCACCATCAGCACACGAGCCTCTGCCTTCAGGCAGGCGCAGAGCACCGCGCCGTGCCGCCCCGCCGCCGCCAGCGCCGCGCAGCGCTGGTCCCAGGTGCAGCGCTGCAGGACGCTGACATGGCGGCTTCCCAGCAGGACGACCTGGTCCCCGGCAAAGGCCACCGCATTTCCGGCCGGAGGCGGGGGTCCCGGCGCAGACGCGCCGCCGCTACCGCCGTTTGCTTCGTCAGGGGGCGGGCCGCCGGCCAGCCAGTCCGGCAGCCGCATCGAGTCCACGCCAGTCATGTGTGGGGTCTGCAGTGCGCCGTGACCAGGGCCGTGCGTATCTCCACCCCGCCAGGGGTCTGCAAACATCCACACCGCGGTGGAGGTGCCTGCCGGGCCCCAGGGCGCCAGCGCCGTCAGGCTCCCGCTCTGCAGTAGCTGAAGGGCTGAAGGGGCCGAGGGCAGGCGCAGGACGCCCAGAGCCTCGGGCTCGGCGAGTAGCGGGGCCTCGGCGCGATGGTCACGCCGCGGCGGCGGGGTCGCTGGGTTGGACGCGCTGGTGCCTCCTGGGCCCGGGGACGCTGCGTGGCTGGCATCCCCCCTTCGACTGCCGCCATCCTCGGCGACGGGCGGCGGCAGGCTGTCCATGATGGAGGTCCGGTACAGAGCCACCCTGCCTCCGCTCCAGGCGATGGCGATGTGCACGGTCCTTCTCCCGCCAGGCTCTGACCAGTCCTCTGAAATACCCCAGGTCGCAATGGGAGGCCCAGGAGGCCCAGACCACTCGTCTTGACCCTCAAGGCCGGGGTCTCGGAAGGCGTGGTGTACGCGCAGGCGGCCCTCGGGCGTCAGCTGGCAGACGAGCACGGCGTGGGGCGTGCCTGCCAGAACCCAGTGCCCGATCTCCATGGGGGGGGGGGGGAGTGGTGGCTTCAAGGCGGAGACGCTCAGTGCCAGAGGAATGATGGGCTCTGGGGAACTATGGAAAGTGGTGTCGGGCAGATCCTGTGCATAGCCTGCATGCCTCCCTAGAACTTCTTCACACAGTCCCTGTCAAAGGCCGCCGCACGTGCAATGCTCACCGGCGTGAAGTGGGACAGCGAGGGGGCGACGCCCGGGGTCTCCGACCCCCGGCCCCCCAGCGACCGGTGGGAGGCCAACACGTCGATGGCGAGCACGCTGTGCGCATCACGCGGCGGCCTGTCCCCCGGCTTTGATCCCGGGGGCGTTGCGGCGCTGGCCAGGTCCAGCACGTGGGAGGGCACTGAGGCCGACCCGGTCAGCTGGCCTGCGAAGTGGAAGGTGGGGGATAGCAGGCTGGTCATACTTGACCAGGAACTTTGCTCGAACGGCCCAGGCTGCCGGCTGGAGGCTGCCGAGGATGCCACATTGCACATGGTCTAGCTCGTGCACAATCACAGTGGGCTGCAAAGAGGCTATGTGCTTGACACCCAGGACCGAATGGGCCCTTTCACCCACCGCACCCCAACCCCTCTTGCTCACGTGCAAAGCTGGTGAGGGCCTGGCTGGTGGCAGACAAGTGGCGATTCACGTCGTGGGCTAGCAGCCGCCCATGCGCATCGGCAGTCAGCGCCCAGGTAACCCCGCCACCGTCGGCCAGCGCGGCGCAGACGACGCGCGCGCCGTGGACTCCGGCCACCGCCCTGGCGAGGAGCCAGGCGGGCGGCCCCGCCAGCGCGCGCGCGCGCAGCTCCCATAGCCGCACGCCACCACCCGCGTGGCCCGTGACCAGCAGGGGCCCGCCGGCGTGGGAGCCCAGCGCCAGGCAGGCCACTGCATCGCCGCGTGGGATAGAAGGGTCAGCCACCAGGCGCAGCCCTGACGGGTCTGCCGTGGCGGCTGTGGGCCGTGGGCCGGAAGTCGCAGCGCCGGAGACGGCTGGACTCGGCGGGCCGGGGACGAAGACGGCAGCGGTGCCGATGGAGGTGCCCACCGCCACCATGCCCAGGTAGCGGGCGATGCAGGTGGGCTGCCCGGTCTGTCCTCCCCGGAAGAGCTGCAGTGATGGTGGTGGGGGTGACTTGTTTCGCGGGCAGCAGTCTCGTGGCGGACACGGCACACACTCAGCTATGAAACACGTTCAGAGGCTGTCCCCAGCAGGGCCGCCCAGCTCCAGCGCCCATCACGCCCGGTCCGTGCCCCAGCCAGACCCAGACCCACAGCGCACCGGGTCAAAGGGGACCGACTGGAAAGCACGAATTGCGGCGTGCGAACCCGTCACCGTCCCCCTCCCGTCCTGCCACCCCTCCTCCGGCCAGCTCCCATCTAGGGGCGCCAGCTGCTCAAGCAGCATGGCACACTCCACCAGCGGGTCGCTGGCCGTGCTTTCCTCGGAGTGATCGCCAATGGAAGGCGCCGCCCCGTCCAGCGCCTGCCGTCCCAGAGAGGCAGGCACCTGCATCCTGGCCAACTCTGCCTCCGCTGCAGCGGCGAGGATGCAGGCCTGTGCTTCGGAGCTCAGGTCTGCTGGGTCTGCAGGGTGCGGAATGCCAATGTCCATGCCCTCTCCAGGGCTTCTGCGCGGATCTGTTGACACATCAACTGTCGTTTTTGGTAGAGCTCCGTTCTCGCCCGGCGGGAGAGGGGCGATAATTGTTGAGTGGGACCCCAGCAGTGCTTCCCCATTGTCCGACTCTGTTGGCATGTCCATCCGAGAGCTCAGTCTGGCTGGCCGGTCTAACTCTCGGAGCTCATTCAAAGCGACGCTCCGCTCTGCTGCAATGTCCGTTGGAGCCTCAACAGGGAGTAACTCCTCCTCTTCTTGATACGATGTCCCTTGCGGTAGGTTAACCAGGCCATCGCCATCCAAGGGTGCCGCCTTCTCCACAAACACCAGTCCGGGTTTCGCCGGTGCAAACCCCGTGCCCAATGCGTCCTCCTCCTCACTGTCAGTGATGGAGCTCAAGCCCCCGCTGGAGGCAGGGCTGAGGCCATCTGCGGATTGGATGTCAGCTGAGCTGGCGGGGGAGGCTGGGGTAACAGGTGACGTCGCCGCAGCTGCCTCTGTCTGAATGCTGATCGTCTCCTCCTGTGCGCTCGCTGTGTCTGGTCCGGCGTCCGAGGGCAAGCCTCCATCTACGGCTGTGGCCTCCTGGCAAGCGATGTCATCCTGACGAGGCTCAGATGTCTCCGGAACATCATGCACAGGCTCCTCCCCATGACTAGCTGCTGAAGAGCTCGGGGGCGATTCTGGGCCTTGCTCCTCAGTGTGCAGGCCTGCGACAGCCCATCTCTCCTCTAAATCTGCTCCCTCAGGCTCTTGGCTTGACTCAACGGGGATGAATTCAATGCCCTTGTCAACAGGAGCCTCAGCCCCTCCCCCTTGCGGCTCGGTGGATGAGCAGGCTTCAGCCTGTGAGATTGGGCAGCGCGGTCTCTTATAGCTCTTTGGCGCAACAAGTGATGTGCATCTGTAAACACTCTCTCTAGATGGAGACACGTCGCTATACCTCTGATTCTTCATCGCTCGCCAAGAGGTCCTCCAGGAGCCGATCAAGGTCTGCGGCCATTCCCAGCCCTCAAGAAGTGATCTTGGCACCGGGGTCGTTCCAGGACTGCTCCATTCCCCTGTTAGGGAATACTACGTATATACATCCCGTTCCACAGGTGTTTAGGTCGATACTCTTACAAAATGGGTGCAGAATCTGTTGCACTGGGGCCATGCAGCTCTTTCGTTGATCTTCGTGGGCGCCCGGAACCACCACGATCGCTCTTGTACGCTCTTTCCTCCCCACCTGCTTCCACACTGCCGGTGCGAGGTTCTGCTAAATCACCGGCTCTGGCGATCCAGTGCCCTGTGAGAACTGTTGCGAGCGGAGGATTTTCGAGCAGTTGACACATCTATATCGTCCGCGCACTCAAGCTTTGCTTGTGGAGCAAGTCGGGGTCCCTGCGCGGAAAGTGATCGCACCTGGCTCCCGGGCCCTTTCCTCGGGACCCCGCCATGACGGCCGGCGTGCTGACCGCCCGACCCATGGATCTCGACACGAAGGAGCCGGGGTTGGAGACCGGGCGGGATACCGGTGACGCACTGGAGGTGGCCGACGAGGACCTTTACCCCCGCCTCAAGGCCTTGCAGCGGCAGCTGGAGTTCCTGGGCATCCAGGTGAGGGGTATGTGCTTGGCGGAAGGGGTGAAGTGGGGGACGGAAGGGGCCGTTCCGCCCTCTGCCTGCCTACCCCTCCCCACCCCCACCCCACCCCCCACCCCACCCCACTCCCACCCCACCCCCCCACCCCACACCCCCTCTTCCCACAGGAGGAGTACATCAAGGAGGAGCAGCGCAGCCTCAAGAACGAGCTGCTGCGCGCGCAGGAGGAGGTGAAGCGCATCCAGGCCGTCCCCCTGGTCATCGGCCAGTTCCTGGAGATGGTGGACCCAGTGACGGGCATTGTGGGCAGCACCACCGGCTCCAACTATTACGTGCGCATCCTGTCCACGCTGAACCGCGAGCTGCTCAAGCCCAGCGCCTCGGTGGCCATGCACCGCCACTCCAACGCGCTGGTGGACGTGCTGCCGCCCGAGGCGGACAGCACCATCTCGGTGATGAGCGCGGCGGAGCGCCCCGACGTCACCTATGCCGACATCGGGGGCATGGACGTGCAGAAGCAGGAGATCCGGGAGGCGGTGGAGCTGCCCCTGACCCAGGGCGGGCTGTACGAGCAGATCGGCATCGACCCGCCCCGCGGCGTCCTGCTCTACGGCCCCCCCGGCACGGGCAAGACCATGCTGGCCAAGGCGGTGGCGCACCACACCACCGCCGCCTTCATCCGCGTCGTCGGCTCCGAGTTTGTGCAAAAGTACCTGGGAGAGGGGCCGCGCATGGTTCGCGACGTCTTCCGCCTGGCCAAGGAGAATGCGCCCTCCATCATCTTCGTGGACGAGGTGGACGCCATCGCCACCGCGCGCTTCGACGCGCAGACGGGCGCGGACCGCGAGGTCCAGCGCATCCTCATGGAGCTCCTCACCCAGATGGACGGCTTCGAGCAGGCCACACACGTCAAGGTGCATGGAGGAAGGGGGGGGGAAGGTGGTGGGGCATGGGGATTCTCGGGGGCCTTGATGTGCGGGACATGCTCACCGAGGTGCAGGCCGAGAGTGGGCTCCCCTAGGCAGCCGGAGGCGGGGGACCGGGCAGGATACTTCCCTCCAGGCCCCAGAGCAACAAGGCCCACATCGTCGCAGGTGATCATGGCGACGAACCGGGCAGACACGCTGGACCCGGCCCTGCTGCGGCCCGGGCGCCTGGACCGCAAGATTGAGTTCCCACTGCCAGACCGGCGCCAGAAGCGCCTGGTTTTCCAGTCCTGCACCTCCAAGATGAATCTCAGCCCAGAGGTGGACCTGGAGGACTACGTGGCACGCCCCGACAAGATCAACAACGCCGAGATCTCCTCCATCTGCCAGGTGCGTGCACCTGCGTGTTTGGGCGGTCCCCCGGCGACGCATGCCAGGGCGTGGATGCGTGGGTTTCAGGCTGGCACGGGGTGTTGAATCCCGGGGTGTACGGCGGCATCATCTGCTGCAAGGAGCACTCCATCGTGGGATCGCTGGCGATCTGGGTTGGCAATGCTCCCCTCCCATTCGCCGAGTCAGCCAACGAATCTGCCCCTACACCGAGCCTACCCACCGCCCTCCTGGTGCAGGAGGCGGGGATGCTGGCGGTGCGGAAAAATCGCTACGTCATCCTCCCCAAGGACTTTGAGAAGGCGTACAAGGTGGTGGTCAGGAAGTCATCCGACTCCTTTGAGTTTTACAAGTAGACGGGGCACGCGGCGGTGGTCACAAGCCTGTCTTGTGCACCACTCTGCTGCTGATGCCTGAATGCGCTTCGAATAATACGGCCTGCTGCTGTACGAATGCGAACCCATGCGCCAGACACTTGGTAGGCCAAGATTCTCCAGGGCAGTCACATGCGAGGAGGTTGCCTTGAAAGCTGCGGGGGCATGGTCAGGCGCTGCACACAGAAACTCCTGAACCATGCTGGCGCGGGGTTGGGTGGCGACCCCGGACACGACACTGACGCCCCGAATCTTTTGGATTTGCACAATACGGAAGCTGTACGGAGACATGAGGCCGTCCGCTCGCCTTCATGGGGCCTGGATGTCTGTCGTCGGAATTACTTGATGGTTGTATAATTGTACCATGTAAACGAGAGCCTTAAACCCGTTGCAGATGGCCCTTGTAGGGGTTGCATGGGCTCATCGACGGGCGACACGTCGAGCGGGTCCCCGTTAACTTTGGAGGGACATGTAGGCGGCAAGGGACGGGCTTCATGGACACAACATGAACCTGCCATGGAGGATTTAACTTGAAAATGTCGTTGGGAGATACGAAACATGGACATCGTGAAAAGGACGTAAACTCTAATATATACGCAAAGCGGGTTCCAAGAAAATCACGCAGCAGGTTTCTGGCTTGCTGCAGTGGTAGATTCTTCACCTCATGGAACTGGACGAGCAATATCGACAGCGACTGGTGGAGCACCTGTTCAGGTCGCTGGAGCTCGTCAACCGGTCGAGGAGCAATGCGAGCGGCGAACGAAGCACTTCATCACAGTCCCTGCTCGACAGGGAGGAGGAGCCGCTCGAGCCGGATGGCAAAATCGTATGTGCCCACCCCACCAGGTGACCCGACGTACCACAGGGGCCAGGGCGAGCAGGCCACGCTGTTATTTTCCCTCTATAATAGACTCTAAAAACCCACTTTTCCCTTTGTTCGCATAGTCCGACGGATGTCGTGAGCCTAGGCCGCGACTGCACCTGGCTTCACCCATATCCCCGGGCCTGCGATCTCCCCCTTCCCTACCCCGGAGTCCCTCCCCTCGCCCCCCGCTCCTATCCCAACGCCATCGACAGCGTCTGGGCGCAGAATGAAGCCAAGAGAGCGGCTGGATTCAGGGCCCACCCTCCGTGCAACAGCCTCGACCTCAACAAGGTAAGTTGGGTGGGAGCTGCGGGGAATGGGTAAACACGGGATCGAAATCTCAACGTGGGACTCGCCGATACTCATTCATACTTTTAATAATGTACTGGGAGTAGAGTGGGTTTGCTCGAGTGATTTGCTTTGCTTGACTATTATGCACCCTTTGGGCGTGGTCATGAGGACCTAGCCAGTGGCAGCGGCGGGCATGCTACAGCTGTCCTTAGCGAGATGCCAGGGCAACGGTCTTTGGTACCCCAGCCACATCCCACTGCCGTGCGACGATAGTACCACAGCAAAACCTCCTACCTTTTTTCCCTCTCGATGATCCTGCAGGCGGTGTACAGCCCGCATGCAGGCCTCTCCCCCCTTGGCGTGCTCAGCCCCTGCAGCAGCGGTATCTCCGACATGACAGCCGCCTACACCTGGCCTGAGCCGGAGCCGGCGGAGGTGCTGACAGGGACGGAGGGTGCCTACCAGCCCTACTGCAACCAGATCATCAACGACGAGCTCAACTTCACCGCCCAGCGGCTGCTGTCCCGGCTCAAGGAGCTCACCAGCCTGGAACAGGGCATGGCCCCCGGCTTTAGCCCCCCCCGCCGCTTCTTCTGCTCCCTCAAGGAGGTGTCCAAGGTGGTTCCCAATGCGGCGTTGCTCATCGTGGCCCCCGACGTCCGCCCCTCCGCCACCGCCGCCATCAAGCCGGTCAAGATCCTGACTGCGCTGCTGAGCGCCGCCGCGCGTCACGGCGTCCCCGTCGTGTTTGCGCTCTCCCGCCGCGGCATCGGCCAGGTGTTTGGCCGGGAGAAGTCCATGAGCATCGTCGCGGTGAGTGCGCAGGGCTTGGATACTGGGAAGGGGTTGGACAGAGGGTAGGAGGGTCGGTTGTGGAAGTATGGTCGGCTAAGGCGTGCTTGCATGGGGTATAACTGGGGCAAGGATTTGCCAGCTGCCCAGCTGGCCCTGAGGGAGTCCACATCACGCCCATGCATCTGACATGTACACATACCTCCGCACAGGTGATGGACGTGTCGCAGTGCGAGGCAGAGTGCAGGCGGCTGATTGGCCAGTCCGCCGAGGTGAGGGGTGGAGACTGGCATGGGGCGCTGCAGGCAAGGGCGGAATACTAGGTGGTGGAACGGCCACGAGGACAAGAACACGACCATGGCATTGCCCACATCCACCGCTGACACCATTCCGACCCACCCGCCCACTCCCTCCCAGGGCCGAGCGCTGTTCCGAGACACCCTGGGCAGGCAAGTGCCCCGGAGCTTCGTGCTCCCAGGGGCTCCCTCCTTTTCCATGCAGCCTGGGCCCTTCTTCTACTGATATTTCAGGCTCCCCTCCTGCACTGCTGCACTCCCAATACCATCATCTACCAAGCCTTCCTTTTCCATGGCACTCTAACTCTCTTTCTCGCAGACGCACACACACACATACCACACACGACGTTGCATGCACCCACCTGCACCCACAGCTCCTCGGCCGATTTCTGTTCAAGGACTGCGGGACACCTGCTCCGCAAACACCCGACCCACCTGACCGTGTACGGCCTGCCTCCACACGACGTACCCTCCCCTGACGTCGGCTGGCTTCACATTGGAGACCCAGTCCACAGTTGCTCTGCTCATGCACACCGCCCCCGGTGTCTGCAGTTGCCTTCTTTCCAAATTTCGGAGTGCTAGGATCCATCCCCAGACACCTTGTCAACAGGCGCCACAGCAAGATCTCGCTTGCTCATTTGCGGCACATAGCTTCGTGCTGCCCACGGCCATTGTGAACCGGCACATTCGCCCCTGTTTCTTTCCACGCCCTGTTGCTTGCACTCCTGCCCCATCCCCCACCGTCTGTGATTGCGATTGAGCAGATGTCACCCCCCAGCCAGGACAGATGTAAAGACTGGGATGGGCCCGATGGAGGAACCGCAGACCCTTGCACCCCCTCAACCTGACCCATGCTGCAGCTCTTGACATGCTATGGGCACCATGGCTGGGTCAGGGAACGCTTGTTGGGGTCTCTGCATGTACAGCGCCTGAGACTCAGGCAGATGCACTGGCAGGTGTGGAGTGCTGCTGCTTCTTGGGTACAGCTGTGGCAGGTGGTACGGGTGGGTAGTAGGGTTGGAACAGGAATGCGGCGGCCAGAAAGCATACATGCTGGCCAGATACAGGGGAGCTTGGGGTGGTACAGCACGTGAAAGTATTGCGCAGACAAGGCGAGAAAAACAGGTGGAGGCTCGTGGCGAGTCCTGCAGCCAACAGTCGATCGCTTGACTGGGCTGCGGTGATGATTCGTCTCATTCCCCCACGCGGCGCCGCACCAGCCTCACCGCCTCCGGGCCAGCGCCAGGCGGAGCAGCCTGACCCCGAGGGCCAGCGCCCCCAGGCACCTGCCCGGCAGCGACAGCCCCGCGCCTAGCATGCGCGCGTAGCCCTGCGCCCCGCCCCACAGCCCGCTCATCAGGCAGAGGCAGGCGGCCTGCTGCAGCGCGCTCCCCCGCGAGACCACCGCGAGGGCGCCCCGCAGCGCGCCCAGCGCCGCAAAGCCCAGCGCGCCCCCCGCCTGTGCGGCACGCGCTGCCGCCAGCGCGCGCGCCGCCCGGCCCGCGGCGGCGTCCGCCAGCCAGGCCAGCGTGTAGACCGTCGCCAGCTGCGTGTGGAAGGTGCCCGGCCGCGCCACGCCGCCCTCAGCCAACGCGGCAACCGCCAGGCGGGGGCCCAGCGCGCCCAGCGCGGCCAGCGGCCGGCCGCGCGCCGCCAGCGCCTCGACCGGTGCGGCGCGCATGGCGCGCTGGGCGCCGTCCAGGGCGGCGCCCAGCGCCACCGCGTTGACGGCAGTTGACCAGAGCGCGAGCAGGGGAGGTCCGGGGCGGGGGCGGGTCAGCTCCCGCGCCAGGCCCTGGAAGGGCAGCCGCAGGGGCGGGAGCTGAGGGAGGAAAGCGGAGCGGGTCGCATGGTACGGAGCCTGGATATGGGAGGGTGTGAAGGAAGGGGACATGAGGCGCTTAACAATGAGGGCTGGGAAGCATGAAGAGCATGATGCATACACCACCATGTGGATGATATTATCCTGAATGGAGCCGAAAGGAGCATCTGAAACACTGCTCGTGCACGCGCAACATGCCTGGCACAGGTCACAGGAGTAGGCCTGGTGGGGGGGCTTCACCAGCAGGGCCTGATTGAGCCACTCGCTCAGGCATCGCTCATGGACGTGGGCCACACTCCCCCGACATTGGCATGGGGTCAGCAGGCGACCACCTGGCGTGATCGAGAGGGAGCTGGGTGAGTGATGCACAGGACCATGAGAAGCAAGGGCAGGGCAAGCTCTGGGTCACCCCTTGGGGGAGCATGACGATACCAATCACATCAAACAATCCAGTCAGGACCATCAGCACTCTTGTGCATCAATCTCGCAGCAAGCTCCGCCGGCATGCCGTGCATGGGTTGCCCTCGCGACAATCCGCCACAGCTTCCGTCTCACCAGGCTCCAGATCACTTCCCCCCCAGCAGATGCGACACTGGGGATCCTCTACCTCCGCGAGACCCGCCACAGGCTCCTGTACTGTCGTCAGCACCGGTAATTGAGATCTGGCGGAGGCCAGGGGGAGCGCCTTGCTCCCCCGGCCTCCATTCCGCGCCTGCCTGTCGAGTGGCAGGGAGAGGCATGCACTCCCGGACTGCATGCTGACCCGAATATCACCGACCACACATCTTGAGTTCACTCGAAAGAATCCGTTTGGGTCATGCCGAACCCGTACTTTTGCTGGTGGTTGCGCTCTCAAGGTTCCGGCGCGGGGAAGGATGGTGGGCCGGAGGAGCCAACCCACTCCGGGAGGCCCAGGGGTGGAGGCTTGCAGGACATCAAAAGTTCCTTTCTGCTGTACGTACCATGCGCTTCTTCTTCCAGTATATGAATTTCAGAGGGGAAGAACAATCAGCGGCATGTAGGAGAAGGCTTGGCGTGGGGCGAGGGCAGGACAGGAGGAGCCCGGGACCCCGGCATCAGCGCCCAATCCCAACATGGGCACGGGGAAAGGTAGCATAGCAGAACAGAGATTGACAGCATGCATGTCCAGTGCAAAGGGGGAGGGAAAGGTTCGCATCAGGGCCGGGCATGCACACTGGAAGTGCCTTTGAGGGTGGGCATCTGGTATGATGAGTCGACCCAGCCTGCAGGCGTGAGTCTTGCCTGCACCTCCTGGCGACAGAACTGATCCAGATCAAAGCTGCTGGTGCAGAGCTCCTCGAGAGCCCGCACAAGTCTTGCCGCTCTATCTGCTCCTCCAATTCTCTGGGACACCTCCCTGGACCCCGCAGGGCGCCGCTGCTGGCTCAGTATACCAGCTGCTCTGGGGACTCGATCACGGCCTTGAGGGTCACCAGGAACTCTGCGCGGCGTTGTTGTGGGAGGATTTTGGTGAGGATGAGGTGAGCAGGGCCGGGGATGGTGACGAGCGACCAAGAACGTCAGGAGTGATACCCACTCTCAGCCCCATGGTGCGCAGGGCATGCAAATCTCCCACCCCGCCCTCCTCTCCAAGAAAACAAACACCACCCTTGAGCATACCCGCTGCCTGGGCTCCGTAGACGATGCGGTGGTCTGCGGTGAGGTTGACGGTCATCTGCTTCTCCACGCCAATGCGGCCGTCGGTGCCGGCAGTGACCACCGGGCGGCTACCCCCCACCGCCAGGATGGCGGCGGTGCCTGGGGGCAGCACCGCATCGAAGGCCTCCACGCCATACATGCCCAGGTTGGAGATGGTGAAGGTGCCGCTGGAGTACTCATTGGGGCTCAGCTGCTTGGCGCGCGCGCGCTTGACCAGATCGGCCCAGGAGCGGGAGAGGGTGTAGATGTCGGCCGCGTCAGCGTCCGCCAGCACGGGCGTGATGAGGCCGCCGTCGGGCATGGCCACGGCGTTGGCGATGTTGATGTGTTCCGCGTAGGTCACGCCGCTGCCGTCGGCGGTGGCCGAGGCGTAGAGCAGGGGGTGCGACTCCAGCGCGACCGCCACCGCCTTGGACAGCAGCGCGGTCATGCTCACGCCCTTGCCCTTCAGCTTGCGGTACAGGGCATCAAACGCGCCTGTGCCGATGGTCATGGACACCCGGAACTCGGGGACCGCCAGGCTGGCCAGCATGTTCTTGCTCACCGCCTGCTGCAGGCCGCTGAGGGGTACCGTCGTGCCCTTCAGCTCCGAGACCTTGGTGGCCGGGGCGGCGGCCGCAGGGGATGCGGACGACGCCGCCTTGCCCTGCGCGGGCGCGGCGGTGGGCGCGGCCGCTGCAGCAGCAGGAGCGGCCGCGGGGGCAGCCGCGGGCGCGGCGGGTGCCGCAGCGCCGGCCTTGGCGGCCTCGACGTCAGCGGCGGTCACGCGGCCGTTGGGGCCGGACCCGAAGATGGTGGCCAGGTCCACGCCCAGTTCCTTGGCCAGCTTCTTGGCATACGGCGTGGCGATCACCCTGCGCTTGATGTGCGGGGGAGGGGGTGAGAGATGGAGAGAACAGGCACTCGACGCGGTGACGAGTGGTCATGGGTGGTGTCCAATGGGTTTGGGTCCGGCAGCAGCTGGAATCTCCAACAGGTGCACCGGGCACAGGGAAGCAGTCAAGCAATTGCCCTCTTTCTTGATTCACCACCCATGCCACTCACCTGCCATCGGCGCGTGGGGCGCGGGGGGGAGGCGGCGGTGCGGCGGTGGTTACGGGGGAGGGAGCGGTGGGCGCAGCCGGGGCGGCTGCGGCGGGGGCCGGGGCGGTGGCGGGAGGAGCTGCGGCGGCAGGGGCCGGGGCGGCGGCGGGGGCGGCGGCTGCGGCGGGGGCGGTGCCGGAGCCCTTGGCCTTGGCGGCCTCCAGGTCAGCCTCTGTCTCGGCAATGTAGGCGATGGGGGAGCCCACGCCAGCCACGCCGCCCTCGGGCACGGTGATGGAGCCCAGGATGCCCTCCGCAAACGCCTCGACGTCCATGTCGGCCTTGTCTGCGCGGTGTAGAGGTGGGGTGTAGTACAGCGTGTGAGGCTTGGGGAAGCAGGTTTGCATGAGACAACCGAGCATCTTCCGGCATCGTGTGTGCACGTAGGAAACCCAAGGCTCACAAGGCGGATATGGGCCTCTGGCTAGCAGCAAACCAGTGCATGATCTCGGTTCCAGAGCCCGCAGCCACTTACCAACCCACCAGGGGCTGATCAGAGGAGGTAAAGCCCATGAACCAACACAAGCCATTCAAAAGTGCTCTTCCGGCCGCGATCCCCATGAGCATGAAAAGCCACCCACCTGACTCGACGACCACGATCGACTCCCCCTTTGCCACCTTGTCGCCGGGGCTCTTCAGCCAGCTCACGATCTTGCCCTCCGTCATGGTGGAGGATAGGGCAGGCATGAACACATCCTTGACCGCGGCGACGGTGTGCAGGGCCACACGGCCTGAGCGACCGCGGGCCACGGCGCCGGGACGGGCTGGTGGCACACCGGCCAGTGCCGGGCCACACCGTGTCGTACTCAGGATGCTTGCCTGCATGATTCGCTAGCTACGGGGTTCGGATGGGAATGCGCGAGAATTGGGGCGTCGGGGTCGGGGGTACCCAGTTTCTGGACATGCAAGCTGGCACAACCTCGCTGATGAGGGAGGGGGTTGATCTTGCGCGCGGGAAACCACATCGGGGGGTCCGCCCGCCCTGACAGGCCTCTGCCAGAGGCAGGTTGGGTCCTCAAAGGAATGGCACTCCAGCGGGCAAAGGAAGTAAGGGAGTGCCCCCATGAATAGAGAGACAAGGTGACAGTGGTTGAATCACTCAGCCGGCAAGGAGTCAGGGTCAAGGGGTCAGGTGGGGTTCGTGGCATCAACCAGGCGACAGAGAGGCATGAACGATGTCCTGCGACGCCGCTGGCCGCTCACGCCCGGATGCAGCAGCTTGTCAGCGCACGCCAATCCAGCTGCTCCCAGGCCATGTGGGCGAGCCGAGGCATCGCAAGGTAAGGTTTCATGACGCTGCCGAGCCCGCGCAGGGTGCTCATCCTCGTTCCTCAGCGGCCGCAATCCATCGGGAGGGCTGCCATGTCATCGCCTGGCTGCACCGGCAGCGTCGGCAGCGCTGCCCGCCGCCTGAGCGGCCTGCCCGGCGCCTCCCGCCGCTGCTGAGTCCAGAGTGCCGGCCGCCGTGTTGGCGGGCACAACTCCTCCTGCCGGATCTATGTGGGCTGTATTGGCCGCTGCTGCCACGCCAGCTGCATCGGCTGCCGCTGCTGCACCGGCTGCCTGGGCCGCCGCTGCGGCCCCAGCCGTCCCAGTCGCCGCACCTGTGCCGGCCGTCCTAGCCGCCGCCGGGTCTGCCGAGGCAGCTGCTGCACCTGCTGTCACCCCACCTCCAGCGGCATCCACGCCGGCGACTCCTGCGCCCTGCACTGCGACAGGAGCGGATGGCTGGCTGCCGGCAGCGAGGCCTGCCTGTGGCAGCCCTTCAGCCGTCGTGGCCGCGTCTGTGTCACCCGCTGCGACCGCCGTGCCGCCTACTCCGACCGCCGTGCCGCCGGTTGCTCCAGGCGTCGTCTCCGTTGCCAAGGCTGATCCGACGCCCGCCGCTCCTGGCGTCGCCTCTGCTGCTGCTGCCACGCCGCCACCGGTCGCAGGTCCGGCATCCGCCACGGTGCCCCCTGCTGCCGCCCCTCCATCCACGGCGTCCTGCGCCACGGCAGCCGTGCCTGCAGACGCGTCGCCCGTCGCTGCCGCGCCTGCAGACGCGTCGCCCGTCGCTGCCGTGCCTGCAGACGCGTCGCCCGTCGCTGCCGTGCCTGCAGACGCGTCGCCCGTCGCTGCCGTGCCGGCTGACGCGTCGCCCGTCGCTGCCGCGCCGGTGCCCTGCGGGCCCACCTCCCGCAGCACCGTCGCAGCGGATCCCGCACCGCTCGGCGCACCGCTGCCGCCCGCCACCCCGCCGCCGCCGCCCACCCCGGCGCCGCCCACCGCCCCCGCGACGGCCACGCCGGGCAGCACCCGCGTCTCCTCCGCCGCGCGGCTGAGCCCGGCGGCCATGGCCCGGCGCGCCACGCCCGCGCGCTCGCACATGCGCCCGATCACGATGTCGGCGAGGACGGAGCCCGAGTCGGTGACGGCCCCGGCGCCAGCCGGGGCGGGGGGGTAGTAGAACTTGAGGCGCTCACGGCGCACGGCCGCCTGCAGCGCCGCCACGCGCCCCGGCGCCAGGCCGCGCAGGAAGGCCAAGGCGGCGGCCAGATTGGGCACGTGCTCCACCAGGCCCGCCACCGACGGGTCCAGGGTCCACACGCTGCCCACCTGCATGTTTGTGTGGGGGGAGACGAGGTGAGGGCCTGAACAGGTGGAGGGTGGGTGGAGCGTGAGCTTGCTGTGAGTGACACACCGACACAGGGGCTGCGGCAGAGGGACGCGCAGCAGTGTCGCGGTTCCAGCGAGCCATGGAATTGCCGGCCCCTCCCCCCCCCCCGCCCCTGCGCATTCCCCGGGCGCTCCAGCCGTCCACCCTCTGGAAAACTCCCCTTTCCGCGGCAGGCAGCACCACCACCATGCCTCACCATGGCGTTCTGGGACCAGCGCGGGGAGGTGGCATCCACCCAGGGGCTGCTGTCGTCGATGTGGATGAAGAGCGCCATGCCCGCATAGTCCACCTCCGCCGCCAGCGGCATGGTGTGGAAGGGCGGGCCGACGAACACCTGCCCGGGATGTGGTGTGGTAGCAGGGTGTTGGAGGGTGGGTTCTGTTGCAGCGCATGGAGAGGCGGGCACCATGAAACCCTGCACGTGTCTCCAGGCTGGTGAGCGTCCAGCCTGGGGATCCCTGTCACCCCAAGGGCATGGCAAGCATGGCACACAACCTCCCCGCCAGGCGGACGGTCTCCCAGGCCCACGCTCCGACCCTGGTCCTGACCCCCCCTCCCGCGTCCGGGCGCTGCCTGCCCATGCACGACCACCCTCCCACTCCATCATCACCCTTTCCCCTGCCCGATGCGCAAGGCCGCGACGGTCCCAAGCCCTGCCCACCGGCATGCTTTGGCACCACTGGTCGCCGACCGCCAGCCGATGACGTGCATCCCTCCGCCCATCCTCTTCCCCTGCCGACCAAAACAACACCCATCCCCTCGACCCACCGGGATGCAGCCGGAGAGGACGGCCTCCGACAGGCGCCGGCTGGACTGGGCGTTGGAGGCGATGATGGGGCAGAAGACGGCGCGGCGCATGGCCGCCAGGACGTCCGCGTGCGGGAGGTGCCCCTCGCAGATGTCGCAGGCGCAGCGCGCGTGCACGTCGGCCGGGGCCGGCGCCCCCCCCGGCCCCGGCGAGCCCAGGGCCTGCACCAGCTCCCAGCGCAGCATCTTGCCCGCGCCGAAGAGGCCGCGCACCTCCGGCGCGGGGTTGCCGCACCCGCCCTGGAAGAAGAGGTGCAGGTCACGGCGCGCGTCCGGTGCAGCCCCCAGGTCCAGGTCGGTGCTGGCGACGTAGGGCAGGATGAGCGCATTGCGTGCCGGCGCGCCGCGCGTCCACACGCACAGGTTGGCGGCCTCGGGGACGAGGTGCAGGACGCTGGCCAGCTCCTCGCACACGTCGTCGTCGGGAAAGAAGCGCTGGAGGGCGGGGGTGGGGGAGGCCAGCGCGAAGGCCGCGCCCTTGGTCACACGGAACCTGCCAGGGAGGTGTGTTGGGGGGGGGGTGGGGGAGGGGGGTGGGGGAAGGGGGGAGGGCGTCGAGGGGGAGTGGGAAGGGGGTCGACGAGGGCTTTGA